CTTCCTGCCCGCCCAGTCCCTTCTCCCTCTCCTCCGGCACAGACCCCGACGCCGACGTGGATGGTGAATGGGAACTGGAGTCCGCGCCGACGTCGCCCCAGAGCCCCGCTTTTCCGGTTCAAGGTGCGTTTACTCCCACTTTGCCTCTCCTCTCCTCTCCTCCTCTCAATAGCTAACAATGCACAACGGTGAATATTTTACGATGGATGAAGCGAGTTCTCAAGCTTGAGCACTCCTCCGTTTCGGAAATTTTCTTCCTCCATCGCAATCGTCAACACTCGGCATCCGCCCCTCCACGACCTCCCCGGTCTCTCCACGACCACGAGCTCCAATCCCTCCACTCCACGCTTATACTCACACCCCAACCCCACTGCGCCGATGCAAACCTCGCAACAGCTCCACAGTTGGCTCGCGATCAACGTTGAGTTGGTAGTGCATAGCCCAGGGTCGTATTCTAGGGAACATCTGACGGGAGTCGAGTACTGATTGGCCGTTTGCGAAACGTTGGTCGGGAGGATAGAGAAGGCGGGCGTGGAGGACACGTCGAAGGGGTGCAGGAGTGTGGATGACGGGGAAGGAGTTTGCAGCAGGCTTGTCAGAGGTTGATGGAGGAGAGGGTGAGTCGTCGATCGTCAGGTGGGTATCATATTCAGACGCGGGTGGCTGACACTTTTGATTGATTGGTGTGGGATTGATTGGTAAAGCTACAGAATGCGATTGATCATGAGCAGATGTTGGACTATTTTCAGGGATTGGAGACCGCGACGAAGATGCTGATTTATTCGTCCTCCAAACGGATTTTCTGTACATTATGGAACGCGTGGACGTATGCCTGGACTGTCTCATGGCTCACGTACGCTCATATCTCTCTCCCTTCTCATTCCCTGTTTTTCCTCCCGCCTGAATATACCGCCACTTGATCGAAGCAGAGGTTTACCTTCGTTTCCGAAAACGACGAATGAGCCACGCGGTGACGCTCATCAAGGTGTCCATTGGGTCTTTACGTGCGCTCATGCAGGATACCACACGAAGGTTATCGGAAAAGGTTCGTTCTCTATATATCACGACTATTGCGGCTACGCTACACTATGTACTCTACGCTGCACCACACTAGACTACACCATCCTCTCTCAGAATCTCTTCGCTTTCTCCACTTTTCTTCCTTTACTTCTGTGTGGCGACTTGTGGCGAAGGCCCGTGGGGCCATGATGTCATAGTCATCTCTTGACACCCCACTTCCCCTCTTCCGCGCACAAGTCGCTCCTTGCTCTGTACCGTCACGACCGCTGTCAACGCTCGCGTCCTGTTCAACACTTCTCGTCGCTGTTTACGAGCGGCACTTCCATGCGGTCATTCATTGACCATTAATATTGCCGACAACATTTCTCTTTGAAACTTTGCCGCTGATGTCCTGACAAGAACACAGGGCCACGACACGCACAGCGCCGACGACAGCGTGCCCTCTAACGCGTCAGTGCTAGCGCATCCCCTCAGCTCGAATGGTTTCTCGTACGCACAGCTATCAATATCGTCTTGCTTTCAATGCTAACTGACTGCATCTCCTGCAGCACGATCACCTTATGCTCGCTTGGCCTAGTTCGAAGACGTCTAGGCATCTGAGGGACTGTTCGTCAACGAGGGTTTCAAATATTTGGTGCGTTGTTTCGCTATGGGAAATTTAGTATTGTATGACCATTGTTTTGATTTACCAACTCCGGATGTCACCGATTGTGTGTATAAGTACTGTACCATTGCTATACAGAGGCTTGAGCTTGTCCTTTTACCTTAATATCCTTACCATTGCAATATATAACTTGTGTCTATATAATCTTCTCCGGTGATGTGCAGGGTGGAAAGCGTGACCTGAACGGGCCACCAGGCCAGCAACCAATAACGGGTTGAAACGCACCGAAAGCACTGAAATCACCCGGTCAAGCCCCCTCAGAACCACCGGGTGAAATGATGCATATGGTAAGTTCTTTTAACCCGGTTTTGGCCCACGGAAAATAACCCGTTCTGAGAGCCACCGGGTAATTTGCTTCAGGTTTACGGTGGCGAATGCGCGCATGACCGGGTTACTTGCCGTGTTATTGTGACCCGGTCTGGGGGAGGGTTCACATTTTAACTTGGATTTCGAACTTGTGACGCCCAAAAGTTAACTTGCGCAAACTTGTGGCTGTACAAGTTAATTTGTCCCCGATAACTTGCAAGTTCGCAAGCTCGCTTGGCTGTCAAACTTGCGTTTACGAACTTGTATAGCTTGGCGCACTTGTGAAAC